TCATCTGAGGTTTCAGTACGGGATTTATAATGCAACAGACAAGGCGGTTTTGTAGCCAGAAATTGTGAAATATCATTTCGTTAATCAGAAAGCTAGGCTAACAGTAGTCTAAACAATGGATATGGTTCAAAAGACCATCTTCAGTCACTAACAAAGCGGTGTATTTGCTGAACTTCATTTGACTTTGCCTCCTATATTGCAGCGTTGATTAGGTGACAATCATCTGTAGAGTCATGTGTCTCAATCTGGCGTTTAAACCCGGCCCCCCGGTTAACACCAAATGCCCACCCGTTCGAATTGTTCAGGCGACGGCCCTGTTCCCGGGTTAAACCCTCATGAACACACAAAGCGTGGATGTGCAGACACTTGGGCTGGGATGCATTGGTGTGGATAATGTGAGTCTAGTCGGCATCACGCTGTCGAGTAGCTGACTTTCTCACCTGTGGTCCATTCCTGACGTTGCTTGGTGTCTGATGCGCTCATCTCGTAGGTCTTGGCTGGCGTTTTCACGCAGAACATACACCGCTTTCCATCCTTGTCTGGTAACACCTGCTACACAGAAGGCCCGGGGTCAGGCTGGCTTCCCACAATCCCCTGCTAAATCACATTCCAGCCCTGGTGCTGTGGAACCACAGCCTTGCCTACATGCTTGACATTAGCCTACTATTTTAGTTGATATTTGTATTATGTAAAACCTTTACGCTCCTACCCAGCTGTGTTGTCTCCTCTCAAAACAACTGCCCCTTAATCCCTTTATGATTTCTTTAATGTTATACTATTTATTAGGGAATCATATGCATTTTTCCATTTTTTAAATAAGAACAACTTCTCGGCAATCATTCCTTTATGTCAAGGCTCACTGCAATGACTCCTCTACTGCAAGAAGAGAATGAGGACCAGCAGGCATGTCCCAGCCCACCCACTGACCCCTTCAGAGCAATTTATCTTTATCTGACATGCTCCAGTCTCCATAGCATCCACAGGTAGGCCACAGCCTATTGGTGGAGAGGTGTGTCTCTCACTGATGTCAGCCAGCAGGCACCTGGGAAATTGTTGAAGTACTTGCTTCACTGGAAGCTCTGACCGTCCCGATTATCCAATCCCCAGCCCAGGCTTCACCTAAGGCTCACCCTGAACTCCTGAACTTAGAGGGGGTGCATTGCCGGCAGAGACCCAGGGGAGCCTCTTGTTTTAATTCCTTAGCTTTGCTGCAAACCCAATACCCTCGGCAGTCGCATGACTTTTCCCAAAGAGGGCCCTTCCCAGAGCCACCTGACATGGTTCACCCTGCCAGTCCCATGGCTGGTGTGACCTGATGCCAGCTCTCGCTGCACTGGCAGGAGCCTGCCAAGCCACAGGTATGGTGGCCATGCTTGGCAAGACAAGGCCACTCACCCAACCCATGCCAATCCGATTCCAACAATGCCAGCTCCAGTCGTGAACTGGCGCTTGGGGAATTCAAGTCACAGCTGCCCAGCAGCAATACCCAGAGTCAAATCAGTGACATGCAAACTGCAGAATTCAACCTACAAACCAGTCACTAGTTGAACCATTCAGGAGCCCCATAATTAACTATGTGCTCATGTATTTATCAACAGCTTTCACCTGCTGGGCTGGAACATGGCAGACAGTTGGATTTTATAACTCTGTCCACTTTGACTCTTTCTGGTTTATACAGAACATCTGGGAGTCAGACCATAGCAGCACATCCTGATCTTCATGGCTCCTCAGTGCCTTTCTAAGACAACACCATGACCTGGGTGACACAGTCTGGCGTGGGCAGGAGTGGGGCCAGCACACGCCTCTCTGGAGTGGCTGGGCTGCGGCGTGGGCATGAAGAGTGGATTCCTGTAAGTGCGGGGCCACTGCGGGGCCACTGACCTCCACGCAGCAGTTCCTGTCCAGAGAGATGCTGCCCTTGCGTTCCTTCCGGTCCTCGCTGACGAAGTAGGCCAGGGAGTTGGGCCGCAAGGTGAACCATCGCTCCGTCCAGTTCCTCCGCAGCTGACCTCTTTTCCACAGGTAGCCCTGAGGGACACACAGCAATGCATTTAGACTGCCTAGTACGACACTATTGTGGAGCATTCAACAGTTGTTTTATCCCATTCATGTTGCACAGGTAACATAAAAACTAAAATGCACTGCAGATAATGCTAATGTTGTGTCCCATTGGGGTTTTTATTGAGCATTTATTAATCAAGTTGGACACCTACCACCTAGTACTGTAATTATTTAGTCAGTGTGTCCCAACCCTGTTTGAACAATGCTGACTACAAGACTAGATGTCAGGGCTCTGCCCTTAAGCAGATATGTATTGTGTGCAGAAGGTCATGTGTTTGCAATCAGCCCATTCCCAGCCATTGCTCCTCACTGGTACATACCTCTTTGAGCACGTCCCCCACAATTTCTCGGTACACTTCCTCAATAGCCATGCTGATCGTCTGCTTGTCAATACCCCGTGTTATCTTCCCAGAGTTCACCAGATCTAGGAAGTGCCAGACTGTGATGCCGCTCTGCTGCACAGCCTCTTGGGAAATGTAGTCTTCCAGTTCCACGCAATTCAACTCCATACTCATGGCCACGCATACCTTCTTCAGCAGGTATTCCACCTGGACACAGGGGAATTACACAGTGAGGGGGTAGATAGACAAACCACTGACCCACTATTGTAATACAGTGAATAGATGTTAGTTTCTAACAAAGACAGATTCTTCAGAAACACAGTTCAGGTGGTGTCAAAACTGCAAAAAATCCCAAAAAACTTTATGTGTTGCCAGTGCACACAGATGGACTTCAAATTGAAATTATAATGATAGGCACAAGTCCACGAATCTGCCCAGCCAAAACCAGCAACAGAGCCACTGACCCAAAATATCTGTCTCTTTGCACTTGGGATTTACAGTATACATGGGAGACTCCAAATTCAAACTACTGTTGCAGACTCAGTTAGGGCCTTTAATTGTTATGTTAACAGTTCATAATGCTAAGGTTTTAAAATACAGTTTTAAAAGACCGCCGATCCCTAAATATTAGCTGTGGTTCTGAACTGCCTCTGAAACAACCTATCCAGCCACCCACACGCCTCCTCCGCAGTGATACAAGTAAAATCCAAGACAATGTCTTCACTAAAGTCTGCAATACAATTGGAAAGAGGAGACAGGTGCAAGGATATTCTATCTGCCGATCGCAGTGAAGTGTACCAGAACTGCACACAATGTTTCAATGTCAACAGACCTCGCCAACGGTTCAGAGAGGCCAAAACAATGATAGGATGGGCTGCCATCACACTGAGTGAATTCATTGTCAGTCTCCATGAAATATCAGAAAAGGCATCCATACAGGGAAGCAAGGATATCAATACAGTACATCTACTGATTCATTGCAGTGAACAGTGAAACAACACTGTTTTCTCCCACAAGTCTCTCTGTTCTTGATTCCTCCTAACTTTAGAAAAGTCCTGTAGGTTCTTTATTTTTCATTTTTCACAGAATTAAGTCTTCGGTTAGCAAAAGCAAAACTGTCGTGGCAGCTGCTCACAGGTGGATGAATGTGTAGAGAGCGCTTTGTTTTTTTTTTCATTTTCCATTCCCTCCCTCACAGAGCACCTCCCCACCTGGCAGCGCACACCGCGCAGGACTGTTTTCACACAGGAAGCAACTGAGCAACGAGACACCAATACCAGCCCAGGAAAAACACATCTCCACGATCCCATACAGAGGCCCACCGATATTCCAACTGGGCCTACAGCAGCTTCAGACAGTGACAACCCCACCAGTAGTTGAGCTAGGAGGAAATACGACACTGTGGGGCACGTTACCAATGCACTAGTAGCAGGGGAAGTCCAGGGTAGTCTGTGAGTGTTCATGTGAAAGAGACACACTCGAATCTTCCTCCTGCTGACAAACACCGACTCTCTCTGACATGCCTGGATCCCCTCGGCCTGCTGCGGCTAAACTGTGATCACAAATCGCTGGGCCGCAAGCACCTGAGCATCACACGGCACAGAATTCTTAGAACAGCAGGTGTGAAGTGCATTGATGCCGCCAATGAAATATTAAGAAACAAAATTGTGTTCCATCTCAATGATGACCTACAAGTCAGTCCTCCTACACAGTAACCTCTGCTAACAGGTCTATGTTAATGAGGTTGGCCGGAAGCTGACGTACACTTAGATCACACTTGTTTGTACTGATTCACAGAGATTGTTCTTATGGAAACGAGTTCAGCTTGGCTCCATGCTGCTAGTGACAGCATTGTGTGTGCCTTTCTCTGCCTTGAAACCTGTCAAAGTAGCCCCCTCTCCTTTTTTGGGTGCAGACCCCCCAGTCTTTGCGTCTGTAATTTCTTTCAGGCTTTTTGTATTTTGGACGATCATTTTAAAAGAATGCTACGCAATGCCAGTCACACAGTGCTTGAACAATTATGATAGCAGTTGCTTTTGCTCGTTTTTGAGCTCTCATATTCAGATCACAGCCCAGTGTGGCCTGGGACAAAAAAAACAACAACAACAAGGTCAACAATTAAGTAGACTCAGGTCAGTTAATTAAACTCCGGTTTGTATCTGTGTGTTGGCTGTTTTGTGAATAGCTCCCCGAGCAGAGTCTCTACCTCATCAGGCACCATGACCAGAGGGTACCTGTCCTCAGACAGGAAGTTGAAGAGGCACCAAAGGCGGAAGGCGTCGTGCATGCTCAAGACACTCTTGCCATTCTTCTCTGGGCGATAGTTCTTCTTGGCCGTGAGCGTCCAGCACAGCTCATCAAAGTTCTCCTTCACAAAGGCCCCTTCCTCCACCTGGGCAGCCACGGAGAGAAAGAGAAGCCGTCACCTGGCCCTGCCGCTGGACAGGGCTGAGCAGTCCTGGTCCCGGAGAGGGCCGGGACAGGTTTTCATTGCAGCTAAGCGCTCAATCAGCTCATTACTGGCTGAGTGGGGTCAGTGGAACAGCATCTCCCAGCACTTCAGGTGCTGCTGCTTTGGACAGACCTACTGTAGAAAACCTGCAGACACACAGGCCCTCCGGGACCCGGACTGGACAGCCTTGGTCTAGGATCTGGAGTTCACACCTCCTTCCTTCCCAAAAGCTAAAGAGTAACTCTTGCCTCTGCTAGAGAGTTAGAATAAAATCCCACAAGAACCATGTGCTGCTTTTTATCCCACAACTAAACTGATAACTTTAAATAATATTGTTTATATTTCCTTTATTCTAAAACTTACATAGCCCGTGAAAAAAACATTACTTTGATGCAAAGAGTTGGATATTGTTATTGGTTATTTGATATGAGTTGTGCTCCATTGTGAGATGTTTATTTGATTGTGTACTCTGTTGCTGTGTGACTGGCTGGCTGTATATTATGCTGTTCTGTAATTGCAGAACAGTGTGTTTAGATTGTGTGCTATATAACCAGCTGTGTATTTTGCTTTTGTGTGATAGGTTGTGTAAGTTGACTACTGTGTAGATGGCTGTGCAGGTTGTATGTTCCATCATTGGATTGTGTATGCTGTGAACTTTATATTTGGTTGTGTATTTGATGTTGTATAATAGGTTGTCTATGAAAGGTTGGTATTTTGCTGTGCTGTAATTAGTTGTGTGAGCCAGATGCTGTGTCTGCTAAAATATTTTGAATACTTATCATAACAAACAAGCTGTACAGTAATGTAAAGCCTAGAAAAATTTCTGAAACTTTGTTTACGGGCAAAAAGAAAGAGTGACCTGAATTCCTTTCAAATGCCTATGTTACTTATTGCTAGATTTACTGGTTGAACTTTTAGGCTGTCTGGGTGCCACGTAGCACTGGCAGGACACAGGGCCTGGGAGGGGAGGGGAGTGTGTATCCTGTCCAGGATGGACTTGTTGAGGGAGGGGAGTGTGTATCTTGTTCAGGAT